CCAGAGACAGAGCGGGGAGCAGAACAGGCGGATCTGGTGAAATCCACTGCTGAGGGGAGCAGGGGGAGGGAGGAGAGGTCGGCTGCGCCCTGTGGGTAGCTCCCTGGCCGGGGATGGACTCAGGCCTCAGTGCCTGGCAACAGCTTCATAGCGCTGAGACCTAACCCCTGCCCCTCCAGGGAGGCCCTGTTTTTTTTTTTTATTTAATTTTTATTTATTTATACAAGCACTGGGTACAGTCAGAAGCGCAGGAGGGTGAGAGAATTCACCAGAGCCAGAGCGGGGAGCAGAGCAGGCAGAAGGACCGAAGGACACTGCTGAGGGGAGCAGCGGGCGGCAGGAGAGGTCTGCGCGCCATGTGGGACCTCGCGGGTGGCCGGGGATGGAACCGGCGCTGCAGAGGCTGCGAGCAGATTCGTAATCCAGCGCTCAACCGCTCAACCGCTGTGCCACCGGGGAGGCCCAAGGCCCTGTTATTTACTTAACATTTTTCTTTAAAGCAACACTCTCTCTTTTATTTTAATTTTAAAAGGAAAATGTTTACGTGAACGACATCAACAGAGAATCAGCACGGGTCCTGCAGGGGGTCCTGGCAGGGGGTGACCCCAAGAACAAATATGCAGAAGCTTAAGTGGGCAGTGACCCCCCTATGTTGCCTGTCGGGGTGGGGCCTCCCGCTCTGCTGTGGGAGGCTCTGCTGTGGGAGGCCAGAGAGCTGGCAAATGGCAGCGGGCACAGGGTGGTTTGACTCTTCCTTCGCGCTCTCCGTACTCCAGGCCCTAGGGCTTGAAGCAGTTTGCAAGCATTAACTCACAGGCTCCACGGACCCCCCGAGACAGCAGCTGCGATGTGCCGGTTCTGCGGGCGAGGAGACAAGGCCAGGGAGGCCCCAGCGTTGGCCTTGAAACCAGGGCCTGACCCTTACACCTTACCCCGAGGCTGTACACATGGGAAACAGCCCGTGGACCCCATGGCAGCAGCTGACTCAGTGAGTCCATGGCTTTTGGGGTGCTCTTGTGGCACCATACATCTGGGGTAGAGCACCGGGACCCACCACATCACTTTGCTTTGCTTTCTCTCCTCTCTCCTCACTGTTCGCTGGAGCCAGCCAAGTGACTCGGGTGTGCAAAGTACACCGGGCTGGGTCCTGGCCCCAGAGCGAGGGCAGGTGGCTCTGGAGACCCCTGGGGCGTGGCCCCTGATGTGGAGGCGCGCAAGTGTCCCCTCCCCCCCAGCCTGGTTTTGAGCCAGAGGCAGATGTGCGGGGGCTCCTGGGGTGTGGCCACTGGCAGGGGATGGGGCAATTCTTCTAGGGAAACCACTGGATGGGGATGGGGGAGTTGAAGGGTGTTTCTGCAGGCAGGACCCCAGGACCTGGTGAGGTGGCTCAGAGGGCAGGTGGGGTTATCCTGGGGGGCGGGGGAGCTCAGCGGCAGGTGGCCCAGGGAAGGGAGGGGGCTTCGGAAGCGAGGGAGAGGCAGGTCCTGACCAGCCACCCCTCCACGACGTGTCTGGGGAACTGGACGTCATCTGTGGAAGGGCGAGACCAGATCAGCCCTGACTCCACAGCAAAGATAAATCTACGTGGGTGAAAGGCTTGGGTGTAGGCCTGGAGCCGCCAGATGCATGGAGGAAGAGGGGCGATGTGTCCCCCGAAACCAGTGCTGGCACGACTTCAGGGACCCCCAGGGAGGGGGTGGAAGCAGGTGAACGATCAAGAGGGCGTCTTTGCTCGGGACGGGCAGTGTTAGCGCTAAAGGCAGCCGTGGGGGAGGACGCTTGCCCCCCGCGGCCCACGTGGAGTCGGCCTCCGGGTGCGGGGGGAGCCACCGGCCGAGCCACTGAGACACAAGCCCGCTTAGAAACGGGCCTTGAGCTGAGCGGGGACCTCCTGGGGGGAGATGCAGGCGGCGCAGGCCGGGAAGACTCCAGATGCCAACGAGAGCCGCAGGAGGCATCATCCCGCATCTGTGGGAAGGGCCAGAAAGACTCCTCAGAAAAAGTGCCCGCGAGGTGGGGGGAGCCCCCACGCTGTTGGGGGGAACATGACCTGGTGCTGCCGTTTTGGGAACCGGCAGGGACCGTCCCACTGAAACTGGAAGTGCCACGTGACGTGGCAGCCCCGCCCGGCCCCCCGCCCCACCGTCCGTGGCCCTGCACACAGCCGAGGCCCGAAACACCCCAGGGCCCCCGAGGGCCGGGGCAGGCAGAGGGACTGTCCACCTGGGACACTCCTCAGCCTTGGGAGGTGAGGGGGCCGTTTGCTGCAAAATGGAAGGAGCTGGAGGGTGGTGCGAGCGTGAGTTGGCAGGACAGAGACCAGTGTGGGGCCCACCTGCCCTCGCGATGGAAACCACAGACACACAGACCAGTAGACACGAGGACGGAAATGAGAGGGGCAGGCTGGAGGGCGTGGGCCCCGGAGCTGGGTGCTTGTAAGACGGTGACCTGGGGGCCTCCCTGGTGGCGCAGGGGTCAGTGTCGGCACTGGGAAGCTCTCGGTAGCCCCCGGCCAGGGAGTAACCCCCAGGGCGCAGCAGACCTGCTGGCCCCGCAGCCTTGGATTTCAGTGGATCCGCCTGTTCTCTGGCGAATCTTCTTACCGCCCCCCCTCCACCTCTGGCCTGCACCCCAGCTCCTGTAGGCATAAGTAGATAAATCCACTGTGTGGGTCTGTTCCCAGAGCCACACCCGCAGGGTCAGCCCTGGGCCCGGGCTTCTGTGCCCCCAGCTGCTGGCGAGCACAGGCCCGGCCTGGCCTCGGAAGGTGGACCCCAGCAGCTGGGCTCTCCTTCCAGCCCATCCTCAGACGGGAACTGCATGGGGAGGTCAGCCGCCCGCTGGTGGGGACAGACTCGGGAGCCTGCGCTGGGAAAACGTGGACGTGCCGGCCCGCAGGCAGTGGGCGGTCACCGGGCACTGGCCACGGGGCTCCCCTCAGGGGCCAGTGGGCACTCACTCTCCGGAGAGCGCTCAGGGGGTGTTTCGTGTGCACATCCCTTCCTTGGGGAGCTGTAACTGCTGTCATTTTTGGCTGAACCCTGTGACTTAGAGCTTGGGGGACCCCATCATCAGCTTGCACGGAGCCTCTCGTCCCTTTTTTAAATTTTTAAAAATTTTTAAAAGATTTATTCATTTACACAACAACCGGGGTCCAGGCCAGAGGCGCAGGAGGGTGAGGGGATTCACCGGAGCCAGAGTGGGGAGCAGAACAGGCAGACTGACGAAATACACTGCTGAGGGGAGCAGCGGGTGAGACAGGAGGGGTCTGCCGCTGTGGGATTCTCGCCCGGGATAGAACCCGCGCTGCAGAGGCTGCGGACAGCTTCACAGCGCGGCGCTCAACTGCCTGCACCACCAGGGGAGGCCCTCAGGGGAGGCCCTCATCCCTTTTAATGTGCCGTCGACCCTGGGGCCCTCTCCCGGTGGCACCCAGCCCATGCCGAGCCCCAGCCCAGGTGCCGTGGGAGTGGGGACAGTGAGGGCAGGAGCAGCGTGGGGCAGGCCGGCCCGCCCAGGGCGGCAGGCTGCGCAGGGCCCCCCGGGGCCAGCTGGGGCTGGGCCCCTTGCTGCAGGCCTGCGGCCTCCGGTCTGTGCTCAGCCCGCTGGGCTGGTGGGGCGGGCTCTGGGAGGGTGTTGAGGGAGGGAGGAGGGGGTCAGGACCGTGGCCAGCGTGCAGGCTGGTGCGGCCCACACCTGGGCAGGGGCTGCGGCTTGACCTCCAGGCCCAAGCGTGTGGGGCGGTGGGGACACGGGCAGGTGTGTGGGGTCCGCCGCCAACCTGGAGCGAGGCTGGGTCCGGTGGACGGCTGCGGGCCCAGGGCGGAGACTCAGAGGGGCCTGGAACGACAGGGGTCAGAGGTGCGTGGGCAGGGCAGGGGCAGAGGCAGGGGCATGTGTTGGCCGGTCTGCCCGCGCTGCCCACAGCTGGGCTTTGAAGGGCCCGTGGAGCTCCCGACCCTCAGCCGGGCCTGGGCGGCGCAGGGGGCCAAGACTGCGAGGACTCTAGATCCTCCTCCAGGGCCGGGAGGAGGGCAGGGAGCCCCCCCTCCCCAGGCTGGTCTGGGGGTCGTGCCTTTCCCGGGAGACCTGGCCCCCACACACTCAGGCCCGAGGGAGGGGACCGCCAGGCGCCTCATTCCCTGGCGTGCTGTCCGCTGCCGTCTGGGCAGGGCCCGGGGCCCCGCGTGTGGCTGAGGTCCCTGGACTCCGGCCCTGCCCGAAGAAGCCGTGCATGGGCAGCCTTGTGCCCAGCGGGGTCCTCAGCTGCTCTGGGCAGGGGCCCTGCACCCCCAGCATGGCTCGGGGCGGCTCCTCGTGTTTCTGCCTGACATCGGCTTCTGGAAGCTCAAGTCAGACGGGCCTTGAAATCCTCCATCCTCGGGTCTCCTCCCAGGCGGCCTGCGGGGGTGGGGAGCCCCCCTGGCCCCCACCAGCCTGTCTCCGGGTCTGGGTCTTCCCTGGGTCACACGGTGTCTGCCCGCCCGCTCGGGCGTCAGCCCATCCTCTCCTGTCGTCTGCTCTCCCGAGCCCCTAAGCGCCAGGCGCAGGGGCGGGGCCCGGCTGTCGGGCCCACCGTGTGCCCCTGGCCTCAGCCCGGTGCTGACCCGAGCCGCTTCCACCCGAAGTTTTAGAGAATGGAGCGATGGGCCCCGCTGGGACTCTGGGGTGGCAGTGAGCTGGGGAGTCCCAGGAACCCCACCTTTCTCTCCTTCCAGACTCCAGCCACTGTGGCTCCTGAGTCCTGTGCCCCGTCCCTGGGGGCCCCGAGGCTCGGTGGCAGGAGATGGGCTGATGCCCGGGGAAGAACTGCTCCCAGCCTGGAGCAGAGAGCCTGGAAGCCTCCGCCCAGGGTCCCCAGGACGGGTGTCTGCTGCGGTGGGTGGGAGTGGGGCCCAGGTCTGCAGTGGGGGCGTCAGTTTATCTCCGCAGGAGCAGGGCGTGAGCTTCCCCTCCCCCTGCCCCCCCCTCCCCTCCAGGGCCCCTGACCTTGAGCAGCATTATGCGACCTTGGCCAGAAGAATCACAGCCACCAGCAGGCCTGTCACCGTCACCGAGGGGAGCCGGCCGCCGGGCAGGAGGGCCGACCCTGCGTGCAGGAGGTGGGAGCTGGTCACCAGCCCTCAGAGGCAGGTAGCTGCCCTGCCCCCTCGAGAGCCCCTGCCTCCATCTCTCCCCCGCCTCCACCCAGCCCCGGCCCGTCATCCCGTCATCCCTTCCCTGGTCACCTTTGCCCCTGAGGAGGGGTAAGGGCGTGGGTGGAGGGTGGTGGGGGGACTCCAGGAACATGGGGAAGTGGGGGCCTGGAGGTGCTGCACCCCGGGAGGACTGCCCCTTGGGCAGCGGCTCCCGTCCCCCAGCTTCTTCATCGTAAGCGGGGCCCCTCACATCCACTTTGCTCCCCGGGTGCTGCCCAGAGGCGCAAGTGCCCGTGCGGTGTGGGGGGCTCGAGCCCAGATGCTGGGGGGAAGGGGAGGGCGGCCCCTGGGGCTGGTGGGGCACCCAGTTACCCCCGCAGACACGCACCGCTGCAGCCGCTCGTCAGCGTGGGCAGCAGCGTGCTGAGCTGCCCGTCGTTGGCCTCAGGCACGATGCCCAGCAGCTTGCACATGAGCTCGTACACGTGGATGCTCTCGAAGGGCTCCACCTGCAGCCCCCTCTTGAAGTTGGGGCCCACGGCCCGGAAGATGGTCTTCATGTCCATCAGGTCGTTGCGGAAGCCGTGCTCCCCCTTGTTGGTCTGCACGTTCAGCCTCTGTGGGGAGGGGCTGGACGTCAGGCGTGGGGGGAGGGTTCTGAGACTCAGTTTCTCTGAATGCAGAGCCCACAAGATCAGGAGAAGACCTGGTGCCGGGAAAGGCCGTCTGCCTCGCCTCCCGCACGCCCGCGTCCACCGCCCTACGTCATCCTGCACACGGGCACATGCGTGCCCCCACAGGCACACCCGTGCAGGCAGACAGAACAGACACACATGGAAACACATGCAGCTACACAACACACACCCCGGCACAAGTGCCAGCATTCATGCATGCTCGGGCGCGCACACGCGCAGCCACCGGCTTCCACTCCCCCACTCAGGCGTGGGTGCTGATGGCCCGCACACGGCGGGGGCTGCCTAGAAATGGGGGTGCTTCGTCCGAGAAGGACAGCATCAGCAGCTGAGCACGCCGCGTGGCCGGCGCCGGCCCCACTCACCCCGTGGATGACATAGCCCGAGTCGGTGTACATGACCAGCGGGGTGATCCTGGGGTTGTTGGCGTAGTGGAGGGCCTGGGGGAAGTCCTCCTTCTTGTAGACGTGGAGGTGGGGGTGGGCGTTCTTGAGGGCGTTGTACACCTTGTCCATCATCCCTGGCTTGGGGACCAGCATCCCGCTGGGACCGTAGTCCAGGAGCTCGAAATCGATGTCCTTGAAGGAGAAGTCGGGGAACCTGTGGAACTCCACCAGCGTGCCGGTCTTGTTGACCGTGGCCATGCCGTGGTCGGACGTGATGATCAGGTTGAGGCGGTCCGCCAGGCCGCTCTTCCAGATGCGGTCCCGCAGGTAGCCCACCGTCCGGTCCACCTGCGCCACCATGTCCTTCCTCTGCTGGGACTCGGGGCCGAACTTGTGGCCCGTGGAGTCGGGCTCCCCAAAGTAGAGCGTGACCAGGTCCAGGTTGTCCTCCGTGAACCACCTCATGACCGTGTCGATGTTGGCCCGCCACTCGGTCTCGTTTTTGTAGTTGTGCAGGGCGCCCTCCTTTCGGCTCTGCGTCACGGTCATGCCCTGGTAGGTCACGTTCCCGCCGGGGTAGAAGAAGGAGCCGGTCCTCAGGCCCTGCGGGGACAGGCGGTGTTAGGGGGACAGGCCACGGACCCCCTGTGCAGCCCCTGGGCGCCTAGGCCCACTTCATGCCCCCTGGCTCGCCCGCTCCCAGCGGTGGGTATGTGGCTCCTTCTCCCAGGAGCGCTCCCTGGACGCTGGCGCTAGAGGCGGCCGAGGACGCGGCGCTGAAGGAGAGGACAGATAAAAATGTCCCCGACAGGCAGAGTCCTCGTCGTCACTGCGGCCCCAGGTCCCTGCCCTGGGGAGCCTCCTGGCCAGCCGCTCAGCCTCTCCCCGTCTCTCAGGGCGTGTCCGTCAGTTCCTCCACCCGCGGCACCTCCAACCTCCTCCTGGTCATCTGTCCGTCTCTCCAGAGTTGGATCTGTCTGTCCGCCCATCAGCCTGCCGTCCCCGCCGAGCAGGCCTCTTACCAAGACTCAGTGCCTGAGAAGCCGGGGGTGGGGGGTGGGGGGGAGCAGACCCCGCCAGGGCTGGCGCCCTGCCAGAGCTCACTGACGCCCCAAGTTGATCCTGGGCTCACCTGGAGAAGCCCCATTTACTGCTGGCCCAAAGCCACGCCTGCAGCGCCAGGGAGCCCCAGAGGCGGGGTTCCTGGGTAGACCCGTGTCCCTGTCATCTGTGGCCCCCAGGGGGCCCCACCTCCCCCAGCAGGCTCCCAGCGGGGTGTGGCCGCACGAGCCCGGGGGCGCTCACCTGCTTCTGCGCGGTGATCCAGATGGGCAGGCTGCCGTTGTCCCACCAGCGGTCGATGCCCAGCGTGGGGTGGTAGGGCAGCTTCATCTTGTTGGTGGTGTTGTAGAACATGTTGTGCACCACGCCGTGGTTCTCGATGTATTTGCCTGTGGGGGCGGGGCGGAGAGGGGCGGGCTCAGGGCCCACATTCCCCGTGCCCGCCCTACGGTGTCCTGCCGCCGGCGACACCCTGCCCCCGGGCGGCTGGAGCCGGCCACACCAAAGGGTCCTCTGATTATCCTCCGTGGGCGTTCACACGCGTCAGTGGGCTGGGGGACGCGCATTTACTTTTGCACAGGACACATGTACTGAGTCCCGAAGGCGCGTCCCTCAGGCCAAGTGAAAGGTGGCTGCAGAGGGAGAGGCAGCGTGCACCACAGGCCTGGGCGCAGGGGCACCGAGTGTCCCCCCAAGGTCAGGTCCACCTGGGGCCTCAGTGGGGTCTTGTTTGGAAATAGGGTCTTTGCGGGTATAATTGATCAGGCTAAGATGAGGTCACGCTGGATTAGGGTGGCCCTAAGCCCCCGGCAGGTGTCCCTACAAGAGAAGAGGGACCCCTCTAGCACCCCTGGAAGAGCCGGCCCCCTCCGCTGCCTGGGTCTTAGCGCCCCAGCCTGAACAGCCACGGCCCAGCCAGATGGCCAGGGTGGGAAGTCGAGGCCTGAGCCTCTGCCTCCCCTCCTGCTTTTAGAACATCACCCTCACCTCCCGATGCCCTCAGGATGCCCGCCAGGCTGTGGTCTCCACGTAAAATGAGACCATGGGTGGGTCGCCTTCCAGGTCGCCGCGCGAGGCCAGTTGCCGGCTGTCTGCTGGGCTGCATGGTGCCTCCCCGGCGGGCAGGGCACCCGGGCACCCTTCCGTGGGCTCCCTGGTCCCCCCGCCGCCCCCCCCCCCCGCTCACCGGTGACCAGGGTGAAGTGGCAGGGGCTGGTTATGGTGATGAAGGCGGGGGTCATGTAGCGTGCTTTCACCCCTTCGCGAGCCATGGAGTCCAGGTGGGGGGTGCTCACGTCCTGGTCATAGTCCCAGCGGAAGCCGTCGAAGGACACGAGGAGCAGCTTCTTCCGGGAGGAGTCCTGCTTGGGGACAGGGCCCCCGGCAGCTGGCGCCAGGAGGGTGGCCAGGGCCACGGCGAGGACAGCCAGGAGTCTCATGATGGGCCCAGGGTGCTGGCGGGTCCTGCGCAGGAGCAGAGCAAAGTCCCAGGGTCATGGCTGTGCTTGCCCGTGAGGACCGAGAGCAAGACCGTCACATACCTGAGTCTCAGCAAGAGGCTCCCGATCGCCTGGGTCCTGCGCCCGGCCCTGGGCCCCTGGCTTTATTGCCAGCCGGTCCTCCCGGACACTCCTCCCCCTCTGGGCACCTGTGTCCTGGGCGGGGAGGGAGGGGCCCCTCCCTGAGGGCCGGGAGTGCAGGAGGGAATCTGGCCGGGCGTCCTCACTGCCCTCTCTGCAATGCTCAGTTCTGTGCCTGCTCATGCTGACCCCAGAGCCCAGGGGTCGCCTCCATAATGCAGGGAGGTCTCTGGGGTACATGCCCCTCAGGTCTGCCTGGGCTAGGGTGTTGGGGGTGGCTTCCAAGGGTCCGGGAGCTGAGGGTCAGCAGCTCAGCCTGAGACTGGCTTTGTCCATTGGGACCCCGAACCAGGGGAGCCCCCCGAGCTCAGAGAAGTGCACGGGTCTGGGACTCAACAAGGTTGTCAGAGGGGCTGCCCAGGCCCCCGCCCCTCTTTCCTGCTTCCTCTCCCCACCCCTTCTTCCTGCCCCCTACTTCCAGCCTCTGGGACCCTCCGCTCTGGCTGGGGACACAGCATGGGGCCAGCACACAGGGTGGTGGAGAGCGAGGGGCCCCAGGGACATTGACGGGTCTGGCATGACAGGGAGGGCATCTGAGGGAGTGTTTCTGGGGTCACAACCAAGGCGGGGGTGCAGAGGCAAGTGGGGTGGCTGGCAGGGGGGGTGGGGGGCCTTACACAAGGGACAGAAACAGATCAATATTCAAGAAAACGCTGCTCCATTTGTGGGTGCGACTCGGGTGGATGTTGGAGTTGCAGGGAGGTGACCCCCCCAGGGGTCACAGGTGACCAGGACGGGCTCCGAGAGTGACAGGAGGGGGGGGCTTAGAGGTTTTGCTTAAGGACTTGCTGTGGTTTGTGGGTGGGGGAGGCAGGAAGGGCGCCCTCCAGGGGGTGGGGCCCAGCAGCTAAGGGCGGGTGATGGCCTCTGGGGGGGGCGCTCTGTCTGAAAGTTTCTGTTCCTAAGAAACTTTTTTTTTTAAAGATTTATTTATTTATGCATACAAGAGCTGGGGTGCAGGCTAGAGGTGTGGGGGTGAGAGGATTCACCAGAGACAGAGTGGGGAGCAGAACAGGCAGACGGACTGAAACACACCGCTGAGGGGAGCAGCGGGAGACGGGAGAGGTCTGCTGCGCTGTGTGGGAGGCTCCCTGGCCGGGGCTGGAACTCGCACTGCAGAGGCTGCGGACAGCTTCATAGGTTGCGTCTTAACCCCTTGTGCCCCCAGGGAGGCCCCTAAGAAACCTTTTGTGCATGAGCTGGCTGTAAGGTGAAAAAGCAGCAGCCATCAGTTTACACAGAAATTTAAATTTATTTTTTAATTTTTAAATTAAAAAAGTGTTTAAAATTGTTTTTTTTTCCCTTGGTGGTGCTGTTTTTTATAGGTTAGGGAGCTGACACTTTTAAGAGAGGGGATGTGGCTGCCCCAAGAGGGGGCCGATGGGGCGCAGTCTCTGCCCAAGACCCCACGGGCGCGGTGAGACGGGCGGTCGGCCGGGCAGTAAGCAGTGACAAGGGAAGGCGTGGCGGGTGTTTTTCAAAGGCTCCCCCTTAGCCCTGCAGGTGAGGGCCGGGCGCCTCGGAGCTGGAGGTCCACCCTCTGCTGGCCTCTCGCAGGAGGACTCGGCCGCTGTGGGGGGGGGCCGTGGGCTCAGCGGGGGCAGCGGCCGTGTCCGTGAGCATGCCCGCGGCAGCTAAGATAGAGTGAGCGGCAATTTGCCAAATATTTTTAGGTCCGTGGACCCGGGTTTCTGAAAGCCCTTTGGTATTTGCTCGGTGAGCACAAAGGAGTCCTCCCGGGACCGGGCGAGGAGGGGCACCCCGGGGCGCGGGGGCATCTGCTCTGGGTGGGGGCCCCGCCGCAGCCAGGCCAGCGCATCAGGGCGTGCCTTGTTTATTTTGGAAGAAAAAAACAAACCAAATCCTCAAACCATCCCCGGCCCCTCCACCCTCACGCTCATCCCACCCTCTTGACCTCTGCTAATCTCTGCGTCTTATCAGCGTTCGTGGTGAGCTTATTTTTATTGTGTTTATCAATTCCTCACTGTTCCGGCCGCTTATCTGCGTCTGGGAAATCTCCAGGCATTTATCTCCCCTAGTTGACTTCACATTAAATAATCCCCTCATGTTCCTTCCATCTTGCTGACAGGTGGTTTTTGGAGTCGGTAGGTTTGGGGTGCGGGGTCCTCGGGTTTCCTTTGGGGCGAGTCTCCCCAGAGCTCCCCTCTCAGCGGCACCGGTGAGTTCCCCCCCGAGGCAGAGACGTCGGTTTTTTTTTTTTTATATTTTATTTTATATAATTCTTACATCATGTTTCACTTTTGCACACTGTATGCATTTTCATCGTGGTTAGATTCCCCATACAACTGCACCCCCCTTATTTCGACCCTAATCCTTCCTCTCCCCGCCCCCTCCAGCCCCGTAGTGTGTCTCTGGCTTAGAGTTGCCGGTTGATTTTGATTCTTACTGTGTATTAATTAGTCTTTCTCCTGGTCCCTTGTGTAGGTTTTCTAGATTCCTGCCATAGGTGAGACCTTCCGGCATTTTCCTTTTTCTTTCTGGCTTATTTCGCTGAGCACGAGCCCTGCCAGCTCGTCGGTTATTTTAAAGGGCAGGTTGATTGGGGAAGGGCCGGGGCGTAAAGGACACTCGCGCAGTCCCCAGCGGCGGGAAGGGCTGCCCGAGAGCGCAGGGTTTGCTGGGGGGGCCGCGTGGCCGCAGGCGGGGCCCCGAGGAGAGCGGTCGGGGAAGAGGAGCCCCGGTGGGCACCGGCACGGGTGGGCAGGAGGCCGCTGCCCTGCGGAGGGAGTTGGCGAGAAGGCGCACCTGCGTGGGCACAGGAGGGCAGAGGGCCTGCTGCCCCGCGCGGGGCCGAGACTGCCCTGATGCCGCCTTCCCCTTGGGAGGGTCGCTCCTGGGGGGGGTTTGTTGTTGATTTTGATAATTATGTAGAATATGAAAGGGGCGGACACGATGTCCCTTCCTTATCTCCACCTTCAGGCCTGGCTCCCGGCACCCCCCGCAGCGTCTGGCCTGGTCTGGGTCTGGTGCCCCGGGATTCGGCGCTGGCGCCCGAGGGTCCCGGCGCCTGTGGCTGGTGAATGGCTGTGCTAGTCCCTCTACCCCCGCCTGACAGTGGCCCTGGATGCCCCCTTTAAGGGATCTACTCTGTGCCCCCCTCACCACGAGTGACGTGTCATCTCTGCTCGTGGCTGAGTGTCCTCCCGGTGTGGGCTGCCCACCTCCTCCTGACGCTCCGCCCGGGCCGGCTCAGTCGCGGTAAGGGAGCAAGCACCGGGGGTGCCCGCTGCCCTCCAAGCCTCAGGCCTCGTCTTCACAGGCCGCCCAGGAGTGGGGGTGCCGGTCACGAGGCAGCTCTCGTTTTAGCTTTTTGAGGAAGGTCCAGACCAGTTTCCCAAAGTGCGGCCCTGGCTCCCACCCGACCTGGAGCCTGGCCCCTGCCCTGGCCCCGCCAGCGCTCGGAGGCCCTGGGCATTGGGGTGTGTCACTCTGCAGGGGAGGGGGGCGCCTTAGGGTGGTTCTGAGTCGCATTTCCCTTCGTAGCAGTGATGGCGAGTGTGTCTGTTGGCCACGTGTATGTCCTCTTTGGAGAAATATCTAGTCATACCTGCTGATTATTTTTTATTTTTATTTTTAAAGATTTATTTATTTATTTATGTATACAGGCTAGAAGCGTGGGAGGGTGAGAGGATCCACCAGAGACAGAGCGGGGAGCAGAACAGGCGGACTGACGAAATCCACTGCTGAGGGGAGCAGCGGGCGGCAGGAGAGGTCTGCTGCGCCATGTGGGTTGCTCCCTGGCCAGCCGGGGGTATCGAACTCGTGCTGCAGAGGCTGCGGGCAGATTCACAGGTTGGGTCTTAACCCCTTGTGCCACCAGGGAGGCCCTCAGACCTACTGCTTAAAAAAAATTGTTTTTGCTCACGTTGTTTAAGTTTTCTGTGTGTCTTGGCCAGCAGCCCCTCGTTGGCCGTGTGCTGTGTGACGGCGCCATCCCGCCCAGCGGGCTGCTCAGCCTGCTGGTATTCTCTTTCATCTGTAGAAGCTTGTAATTTGATGTCATTCCAATTGTGTCTTTGTCCTTTTATTTCTCTTGTCACTGGGGTGGAGCCCCCAGTGAGGTCTCTGTCACGGGAGTTGTGGAAATACCACCCCTGCTTTCTTTAGGCCGTCTCTGGCTCCAGGCCCTTTAGCTAAGCTTTAATCCATTTCAAATTCATTGCTGTGTGTGGAGTTAGCGAAGATCCGGCTTCACTCTCGTGCTCGTGAATGTCCCGTTTCCCCAACATCCTTTCTTGAAGAGACTTTGTTTCTCCTTCATCATAAATCAGGAGTCCGTGTACGTGTAACTTTGCTTCTGGGCATTACGTTCTGTTCCACTGCTCTGTCTGTTTTTATCCCAATACTGTGGGTCTGCTCATCCTAAGCGGCCTGGTCGGCCACCATTTTGTCACCTGCGATTCTGTGTTCCTAAGCAAGGTCAGAACTGCCCCGTCACTCAGTCAGAGCCAAACCTTACAAGGTGCCTTTCAAATCAACCAAGAGCTTAAAGCTGGCTCGCCCTGGGAAGGGCGCACAAGCACAAGGCACGACCGGCAATGCCCGGGGGATTGTTGACTGATGTATAACAAGGGACCCCAGAAGCTGATCAGTGGGCTGTGCGTTATAAGATGGAAATCTTGGCTGGGGATCTAGAGCTTGATCTGTTACAATACTGAATCATCAAGCAGAGAAGTGCCTGGGGCCAGACTCCCAAGGCCTGATGCTGTAAAGACAGAGCACATTTTCTAGTTTCAGCCCTCCCTTTTCCTTGAGTCTTCCTTCCCCTTACAACTGAT